ATGACCTTGTGCGCCGACGTCGCACTCTCGTTCGTCGCTGTCGCGCTCTTCGTCGTAATTTACTTGGTTGATATCAAGGTCCTTTCCTGCGCTTGGATTCTAACCTCTGGTCTTCCACGGCTTATCGTTGTTTCTATCCTGTACGTAAATTCTTTCTTGTCGTTACGCGGTCTTAAATTTCTCACCACGTAAATGGCCTTGATCTCAGCGATCTCTTTGCCTGCTTCGTCTCTCACTCTATGCTCACTTACGTCAAAGACGTTACGTCCTCGAGCTAATTCACACTTTTTGATGATCTCGATCGACTTGTTTTGCGCTTCTCTTTCTTCCTTGTTGTATTGTTCGGTGTTGCATTTGATCGGAGATAACTCTCTCGCGTATCTCTCCATCTCCGTCAGTCTGTCTTCTCGCACTTTCAGCATCCTGTCTTGCTGCTCGTATTTCGACAATCTCCTCTGGATGTCCTCCTCCCATCGTTTGATTCTTCTTTTTTCTTTTTCCATCGCGTATCCGTATGTCAGACTTTTGTTTATTGTCTCGTTGTTCGCTCTGCTGCTACGAACTGTCAAACGCCCGTTCACCACGGTCGCTCGATTGAATCTGCCGTTGTGGCGCTCGCCGCGCAATGCGTCGCGCACACGCGTTAAGGCTGTCTCACAACCGTTGTCGGTCGCAATCTCCATCTCGTCGCTGATTGGTTCGCATATCCAATTTCCTGGATTGCTTCGAAATTTCACATTGTAATTGATTATATTGATCATTTCTCGTTCGGAATACACTATTTCGCTCGGGTCTTCCATGTCCATGAAAAGATCCTCTCCTAACTCGCTGTTGTACGTTCTAGAACCTCCCGACGATATTATCGTTCGTTCACCTTCGCTTTCGTAATCCTCATTTTCTTGCGGTCGATTATCATCGTTGGCGTTATTTTGGCTTTGCTGGTTGGATGAATTATCCCTCTGTTGATTATTCGTGTTTTCACGTTGTTCGCTATTGTTGTTCGTGTTATCCGTACTAAATCTTCTATTTATGATTTCTTGAATTCGATTATGATTATGCGCGATTTGTCGCTCTTCTCCTTCACTCAAATTACTCCCACTGAGCATTAACTCATCCGGAGACTCTGATTGGTCCTCCTTCTCCAATTGAATATCTTTGTTTTTGGTGTCGCTGTTTTCCGAATTTTCATTCTCCTCTTCATCTTCCGTTGTTGAATCATCTAATTTGTTGCAGGATTTCAAGTGAAACCTCTCGGCCAATAGCGATTTGATTTTGCTCGCGGTTTCCACGGCTCTCGCTGGCTCTGAGTTTTTCTGTTCCACCGTTTGCTTTCCTCGGCATTTTTCAGCTCGATGGTTGTTGTTCCTTATCATCTCCATTATTTGTATTTTTCTTCGTTTCCACCTATCGTAATCTTCTCTGTCTTCTGATTCGTCACTGAAATCGCTTTCCTTGCTGTAATATTTTTTTAATTTCCTCCATTCATAAAACTCCATTACACTCTCTGGATCTTCTTTTGACCTTTCGTCTTCTTTCATCTTTAATCTTTTCTTTTTATGTTTCAGGTCACTGTGGTCCTCTTCGCTTCCCGAATCTTCACTGGAATCTTCTTTGCTTCTTAGGTACGTATGAACCCTCTTGATGTGTATGAAGGAGACATTTTTCTTATCGAAAGGCTCCCCCACTTCTTCTTTCTTGATGTCACTTATCTTTTCACTAATTTTTTCTTTGGATTGGCTAAGTTTTTCCTCTTCAGGCTGTTCGTCACGCTCCTCGGCGTTTTCCTCGTCTTTTTCGACTATCTTCGCTCTGATTGGCTGATTATCCATTTTTGACCTATCGGCTGGTTTCGTTCGCTCCTCGGCATTTCTCACTATAATCGTTCTTCTCGAGTTGTTTTCCTCGGTAATTTTACTTTTTTCATCTTCCTGTGATGTGATTGGTCGGTCGGTATGCTCCTCGGCATCTTCGAGTTTCTCCTCGGCATTCTTAGTTTTTGACCTTGCTATTTTAGTTTTACTTTGCTTTTCGGCAGAATTATTTTGTTTTTCATTAAAATCTTCAAAGTTGTTCTCATTGGTTGAATCTTCATGGTCATCGTACTCCTCGGCTGTCTCAGTCTTTTTCGACCTATCGCAGTCCGAGTTGGCGTTATCCTCTTCCGATGATGTCAATTCGTGCATCTTTATTACACAAACTTTTATTTCGTCTTCCTGACTGTCGTATTCATTCAATTCTTCTCTCTGCGAATCGTTATCTTCGTTCGACGAATCGTCGTCTTCCTGTTGAGAATTGTTACTTTCCCCGTCGCTGTTGTCGTTATCCCCTCTCAGGATTGGTCTTCTGTACGGTCTTAATTGCCGTGAGTTGTAGACTCCTCTCGGATGTCC